CCCTGTTTTGTAACCTGTTAGCAGAAAGAATCTCTGGAAAACAGAGTACAGATGTCCCTCTACTTTGTTCTGTAATTTTATGACACACAAATACATTATAAAACCTCTCTCTTTTGTTAAAAGAAGTTTCATAGCACCTACAGAATTTTCTAATTACCAGATTCTAAACTACTGTGAGTTCTAGATATAAAAACCAAAGGTAATATTTATGTCACTAACATCATCTTAGAGGTATGAGTAAAACAGGTAAATTAAGCTCCTCTTGTATCTTAAAAATGCCCATGCTATAACACAGTAAAATAATCTACTTTTACAGCAAATCAAAGAAATAAAAGCCACGTGTGTAACTCTGTTGTTGTGAAGCAATGTATTATATGTTAAACTCAAGTTCACGGCAGCATGACAGACATTCAATGAGGGTTTACAATAGCTGAGGCACTTTTATGTGCTGCCCCAAGCTTAACAATAGTGAAATATGATCCTTTGTCCTAGACAAGCTAGTGAGGAGAGGAAGTATGCCAGAGACATTCAATACAGTTAAACTCTGGGTAGAAAGGAAGTGTTAGGGGTGAAGAACACTTGACTCCCTTCCAGGAAACCTAGGCAAATTTTGGAAGGAGCCAGTGTGATCAGCTGATGGTCGAAGGTCTTATATACTACCTGACGTCCAGGGTACGTATGACAGAGGAATTAACTGCTGTCCAGTTTTCCCGTATGTATGTCACTTAAGGTTTGATCTCAACCTCATCCTATGTATTTCTGGGACTGAAATCTACTGTACGTACAGTTAATATTTAACTGAGAAACTAACTCAATAGAAACCTAAGTTAGAACTATCACTTGTTTTCAGTATTTTTTTTTTCTTTTTTTCAGGAAAGGGTCTATAAGGTGTTCCAGGTCTCACTACTAGATCAGACTCGTAGTGTTCCGCCTGTTTACAGCCTCCCAAGAGCTGGGATTACAGACGCATGCTACCACGCCCAGTCTCAATTGCCCTCTCAGCACACTATAGGGGCAGGGTTGGCAAGGGAGGCCCAGGGATCAAACCCCTCGCCCCTGCAAGCAGGTGCTTTAATCCGCTGAGCTATTTGGCTTGCCCTTATTTTCAGTATTCTCATGACCTCAATTTTACCCTTCACCTGCTAAACAATTTGTTTTGTTTTGTCTTCTACACTCTATATAAAAGGCTTTACATAGGCCAGGGTAAGATATGGTTTCTGCTTGCAAAGAGCTTATGGGCAGGATATGTTAAATGGTAAGTGGCCACATACTGGCGAGGGTTTGTTCAGAAGCATTTCAAAGCCATGCTATTAGGAAGGGACGCCCTCGAGACCCAGTCCTAGCCCAGGTCCGGTGAGTGTGCAGAGAGCTTCCTGCTACCCTGCGCCAGCGGGACCAGTCCCAGCCCAGGCGCAGAGTGGGCCGGACCCTCTCCCAGCCCCTCGGGCCTCCCCCCACCACTCCGC